TAAAAAGTAATATGCAAATAATATGCTAATTATGTTTGGGTTTGGTTTATACCTTTTATAAAAACAAAAAGCAAATAATAAAAGTATCAACCAAATAAAATCTAAATCTTTCCCTTGCTATTTCTTCATTCTCCAATGTCATCATGTATTTCAAATTCAATTTTCTTCACATGCTTCTTTCACTGCATGTTTGGTTAGATGGAATTAGAATTCCATTGTTTGGTTCATTCTTTTTAGTTTAGAATAGCAATTGTATGGAATGTCAATTTTTTAAAAACAAAGATTATAAATTTTTTACTCTCCCATAAGAATTGCAATTCTTGCCTCATCAGGAATTGAGAATATACTTATCAAACAATTTTTTCCTTATATATTTAATTAATTCTAACTTTGTCCTTACATATTTAATTAATTCTAAATAATTGGATTGATTAATATTATTTTATTTTTATTAATTAAATAATATTAATTATAGTATTTAATTAAAAAATTAATTAATAATACTTTAATTTTAATTAAAAAATATTAAACTATGATTACATTAATACTTAATACTAAAATATTATTAAAATAACATTAAACATTTAAATATTATTAAATTAATATTTAACATGAAAATATTATTAAAATTACCGAACCAATTCAAATAGTTAAGACTATATGAATGATTATTTTAAATCGTTATGACCTTTTCTTTTGTCGTAAAACAATTGTTTTGTTCATACAAGCAATAATACTAATTTAATAATATTTCAAAAATTAATAAGAAATTTAAAAAAATTTTAAAATACTATTAAAATAATATTTAATATTAAATTATTATTTAATTGATACTTAATATAAAACTAATATTAAAACAATATTCAATAACCTGAAATAGTAAAATATTGTTAAATTAATATTTAATATATAAATAAATTTAATATAATATAAATTATTAAAATATTATTAGATTAAGGTTTAATATTAAAATAATATTCAATTTTAAATATTTTTGAATTAATATTTAATATTATTGTAATATTGAAATATTGTTAAAATAATATTAAATCTTAAAATATTAATACATTAATATTTCATATGAAAATATTATTAAAATAATATTCAATCTTATTAAAGTAATATTTTAAATTAATATGATATATTAGTCAATAATATTTAGTGTAATTCAATAATATTTAATTATTAAAATAATATTTATTAAATTATTATTTAATACTATTAAATGAATATTTAATATTAAAGTAATATGAATATAATCTAACACATTAAAATATTAATGAATAATTCTTAAAATAATATTAATATGAAAATATTATTAAATTAATATTTCATATTACAAATAGTATTAAAATAATATAATATATCAAAGAATTATAAAGTTAAATTTAATAATAAAATATTATTAAAATGTGATCAAATTAATATGGAATATTATAATAATATTAAAATATTATGAAACTAATAATTAAGATTAAAATCATAAGAAAATAGTATTAAGATAATATTAAAACAATATTCAATATTATTAAATTAATATTTAATTTTATTAAGTTAATATTTCATATTATTCAATAATATTCTATAATATTAAATTCATATTTAATACTATTACGTTAATATTTAATATTATTAAATTAACATTAAATATTATTGAATTAATATTAATTATATTAATATTTAATATGATTAATTTAATATTAATTAATATATATTTTTATATTAAATTATTAAGAATTTTTATTCTTTTTTATTAATTAATAATTTTTAATAAATTATTTGGGTAAAATGATCTTTTGAACTTGTTTCATCAATATTTTTTGAACTAACCAAAAATATTAATTTTAATTTCTCTTCTATTTCATTCTAATGAAACAAATTTAATAATAAATATTTTATTTTATTTTTCTTATTTTCTATTCCCACATAATATCTAAATTTTCATTTTTTCTCTGTTCTATTCTGTGAACCAAGCGAACCGTCAGTGATTTAGATTAAGCCAATTCTTCTTACACTCACCATCAAGAATTACTGTACTAGATATAATGTTATCCTGATCCTTACACATATGTAATTAAGCACAATATTTTCAGTACCTTAGCGAGTAAATTAACGAGATAATTAAACTCACTCTCAAGGTTATTATAAACCATACCTTTCATATATTACTTCCGTCCTAAAGAAAATTACCTGGATATTGGATTATGTTTATTAAGCTGAATCTATTTGGGTATAGTTTCGTCTTGACTGGAGTCTTGGATTGGGTTTATCTTTCTTGGCCTTTTGGACTCCTTGGGCTAGCCTTTACAATTTTTAATATTCTCAAAAATATTAAGATGATAGGGGCAAGACATCTATTTGATACTGAAAAATTAAGTATTAAAATTTTAATACTAAATACTGAATTTGAGTTATAAAAGCTATTTGATATTTTATTGAAAATTAAATATTGAATATATATATATATATATATATTACTTGATAATTGTGAAGTATTAAATTTTAAAAATTTATCATTTTATCTTATTTTCATTGTAGATAATGAAGTAGTGCTTTTACGGGATAATAATTTAAAAAAATTTAGAAGAAAAATTTATTGAACATTTTCCGCATTAAATAATAAGTAGGTCTATACCTACTTATCTTATTCAACATATTTTGATTGAAAAAATTTTTTTAAGTAAATTTTAAAATGTGTTATCAAACATATCAAAAAAATTAAAATGTTGAAAATTTTCATTTTTAATGTAGTGAAAATTGTCAACAGTTTATCAAACAAGGCCAAACTCTTCTAATTTTACTATGAGGTTTTCAAAATGTTCCGAGGTGTTGAGAAAGAGAAGCGAACTTACCACGAAATAGCCTAACCATTTGAAAAGGTTAATAATCAATGAAATCTACAAGAAAATTGTCCGAATAGATGTTAATAAATGTGGTAGAATGATTAATATTTAGTCAAATTATGATAATGCTTCACATACTTTAATGAATTTTGAAATTTATTCTTTCTATTATAATTCATAAAAATGTAATTTTATATTATTTTAATTTGATAATTTTAATTCAATCACTAACCCGTTAAATTTTTGTCATTAAAACTACTAATATAGCCGTTGATTTGATAACTAAACATTATCTTTGCTGATGTTGAATTAAATTATCGACGTGATGTTGATTTTGTTGACGTGAAATCATAAATAAATAAAATTAGTTATCAAATTGTAAAAATAGTCCTTATACTTACATAAAATTCTTAATTTTAGTCCCTCTAATATAGTTTATAAAAATTTTATTTTTTATACAAATTAAATTTGATAATCTTGATCCAATTATTAATAGGATCAATTACTCTTCTCTTGATTTTGTTGATGTAATAGTTGCTTTTTTAGAAAAATATTTAAAAATTAAAATTTTTTAAAAAATTCAAAAAAATCAGAAAAATTAAATAAAATAAGAAAAAAGTAAAAAAAAAATCTTATTAGTCTATGCTGGACCAGCAGTAAAAATTTTCCAATATTTTTAATTTTTTAAAAAATAATATTTCTTTAATTTTTTAGAAAAATAAAGTTTTAATTAAAATTTTCAAATTTATGAATTATTTAGAATTTTTCTTTATTTCTAAAAAATATTAAATTTAATGGTTTTTCCAAAAATTTCTTTTTTTAAAAAAAAATATTTCTTTTATTTTTAAAAAAATAATATTTCAATTTTGAAAAAATAAATTTCTATTTTTAGAATTTATAAAATTTTAAATAATGAATTTAATGTTTTACAATACTTTAATTTTGATATATTAAATTTAGTACTTTAAAAAATATAAAATCTCCCAAAAATTATACATACCTAAACTTTTATTAAAAAATTCTGATTTTATTAAAAAATAAAATATATATTAATTTTTAAGAAATAAAATATTTCAAATTACTATAAAAATTATATAAATTGAAATTTATTTTTTAAAATGAAATCAATTTTTCATGTAAATTCAAGAAATATTTTTTTTGAAAAAAATTAAAATATTGGAAAAAATAAAAGTTATATTTTTAAAATAAAAAAATTTTTAAATAATTCAAAATATTAATTTTCTTTAAAATTGAAGTTCGATTGTTAAAAAATTGAAGAGTTATGATGTTTTCTAAAAAAAATATTTGAAACAAAATGAAAATTAATGTTTTAAAAAGAATTCTGAAAAAGCCTAAAATTAATATTTATTTTTAATTTTTATATTTTTTAAAAAACTTTTAGATTATTTTTAATTTTCAGATGATTTTCTAAAAATAAACAACAAAGTTATGGGAAAGTAAATGATCACATTAGTAATTAAGCTAATATTATCAAATTCAACTTATATAAGAATAAGATTTTTACGAATTATATTAAAAGAACTAAAATTCAAATTCAAAATTTTGATGATAACTGATTTTCATTTATCTATATTATCATGTCAATAAAGTCAATAACATATCAGTAAAGCCAATGTTACATAATAAGGTCCATGTTTATATTATCAAGTCAATGGCCACGTTAACATTTTTAACATTAAAAATTTGACGGGATTAGAAATTAAACTAAAATTATCAAATTAAAATAGTATAAAGATTATATTTCAAATTTAATTAAAGTATAAGGATCATTATCATAATTTGATCTTGATATTTTAATATATCATAGGAAACAAATGTGAATGAGATAAAAGCTCTACTTTTGAATAAAAATTGGCTAACTTTCGCGAAGTGGAATCGGGGGTAGAAACTACAACCTGAAAAGTCTTGGTAAATTGTGGACAAAGGCTAAAGACGAGCGATGATTTATCAATCGGCAGGCTGGACCAACCAACAGTCTTTCGAATTCTATCTTCTAGCACCGTCCGACAAGTTGTGTGAATATAATCTTAAACAATATTCTTTAACTTTTCCACGAAGGGATCGAGTTGCTATGTGTTTTTTTCTATATATTTCAGGCCATCGAGAAAGTTTTTCTCATATCCCAACATACCAAAAAGGAATATATATTTTGCCAAGTCTTTAATGATAGATGAAGTCTCCACTAGCAATTGGGAAAAAGCCTTCAAGATCATCAAAAAGGGGGCATAAGGTATTATTAATGTGGTTTATTATTGTCTTGGCAAAATATTTTAAAACATTTCCTACACCTTAGCTTGATGTCTTCTTAACATGGTTGTAAACATATGCCTAGTTTTTTTTCACCATTTAATATCATTTTTTAGAATTCAATACCAACCATTAAATTCGATGCTTTCATATACTTCATACTACCGTTCAATATGTTTGTTTACTTGATATGATACAATTCCGATTGGTATCAAGCATGATATATTTATAGAATATATAGACTAAAAAAGTATTTTTGATGTTAGCTCAAATTAGTATGGTGGAGTTAGAGATTTTAGATTTAAACTATGATATTCTTTCTTTATAGCATAAAAAGAAAGGTAGACTAATTTTTTTTATCACTTAATTTTTCAAAATTTTTTATTCACCTAACTTAAATAAAAATACTGTTCTGGCTATTTAATATCATTATTATCATTTTTGTATGAAAGTAAAGAGAAATTGTAATGTCTCATTAATTACATGCTATTTAATTTCATTGCAGAAAAAATTAAAAATGCGCATAGGAAGGCTAAGAAAGAAGATTGAGGAGATAAGTGAGTATCAAAAAGGAATCAAACAAGGGCAAAGGCAATTGAAAGAAAAATTCGAAATCATAGAATCAGAATGTGAACAACTTCAAAAGGAGACTGGATTTATAATTCAACAATGTGCCAGCACCCAAATTCGCATTGCCCTTATGTTCCAAATCTTAAACGCTAGGCAAAACAATGACTTCACCAAAGCATCCCAACTCACTCAAGCTCTACGGTTTGTATCTTCAAAATCTCTTTTCTATGTTATTCTTTATGCTACTTTTTGAAAAAAAAAAAGTTTAATATCATGAACAGTTTTTAAATTATAATAAAATATTTAATATGATACCTGAACAATAAAAATTTTTAAAATAATACCTAAACTATAAATCTGTTAATTAATATGTTATTTAACCTAATATGACTAGTTTCATATGTTATATGGACAAATAATTTTTTAAGTATTATATTAATTAACAGATTCATAATTTAAATATCATATTAAAGATATTTAAAGTTCAATTATCATATATAACATTTCATTATAATTTATGATTCATTCATAATATTAATCCTTTTAAATATAAAAGTCAAAATTCAATGTAAGATTTATTAACTCTGGTAAAAAAGCTACAGGGGACACTTTGTTATTTCTTTTTCCTCTTAGTTATCTTCTCTGTTTTATGGCAGTGAACTCATAGTGGAGCAGAAAAATCTGGACGCTTCGGCTTCAACATACTGAGGCAAAGGAACTTGTGAAATGGCGAGGGGGCTGGATTAAATTGTTTTTCTTTTTCTTGCCTTTCTTAGGTTAATTTATAACACAATATCTATTTCACTCAAATTATTCTATTTGATATGCTATAACTATTTACTCGAATATTAATACAAGAATTTGAGTAAAATACGAATAACTGTCACAGTTTGGACTGCAACTTGAATTTATGAAAAGGAAGTGTGTGTTTCTGTGTATTTATCTTGAGCAACTTGTGTGATAAGGAAATTTTAATATCTATTCCAATGTTGATATTTTGGTTTCTTTTTTCTCAGCCAAAATCGATTTTATTAAAAATCCAAAAGGATATGTATACCTAGCAAAAGGTCTAGCTTTAACAAAAAGGTGGACATAGTTCTACTTCAGCTACATAGAACTTCCTAAAAGCATAACGAGCTTACCAATAAATACACCTCAAAACTAATCTTAAACTCCAAACCTATAGAATTGGCCAAATCAAAATGAACAAACATACACTCCTACTGCACCGAAAATCAATAAAAAGAGAAACTCCCGATAAAACAAGAGATCATTCCTTCAAAGCCACCAAGGCTTCAAACATCTTCTCTTAAAACAAATATGAAAGAGATCACAATTTAAAAATCCCCACCATCTTGTTAAACGCCCACCCAAAATTTCAAACTCTATTCTTAAAACAGCATTTCAATAAAAACCACCTACTAATAATAAAGCAACTATTGAGAACAGCTCAAACCACCAAGATTGCAACAAGTCAAATATGATGCCAGATCATCCCAACCCCGACGCTGCCTAAGCTTCTATGTCCCCATAAAGTTGGAGTAAATAAATCAACCAGGCAAACATCCCCTTCCTCTCATATGGAATCCCCCCACACGGACAGCCCATTGCCACGACGGGTCAATACACACCAATTTTGCTAATTAAGCATACCAAGATAAGGTAAAGTTTTTGCAGCAGGGTATTTCTTTGCGGGCATCTTAAGAAAGGACGAGTTGCATGTCAACATCCCAATCAATAAAATTAATCTATCTTTGATCACCACTAAATGTTAATTAAAGAAAATCTTCCCCGTATTATCAAATGATCACTCTTGTTGTTATACTGTTAGATACAAAGCTTGCAAATCAACCAATCTTGTTGTTGTAGATCTTCCACTTATGCAAAAGTAACAGTATTACCTTCCAAGTTTTGTGTTAAGCCAAAGATGGAGCCTACAAAATGAAAGAAAATGGCTTCAAGACGTGTTGCAAAGTGCCACTTTCCTTAAAGTTTATTTCATCCCTATTTGTTATGATATGCAAAGGAGATAATCAAAACACCTCTAGGATATAATGAAGTCTTATTTGATCTCACTTTGCACTTTTGAAATTAAACCATTAAACACCTTTGATGTTAGATGAAAATACCATGTTTTGAACAAGATTTTCTACAAAAGTCTTGACAAAATTTCATGCCTTGTATTTAAGAGAAAATGGGAGAAATTGGAGAGTAACCTTTACGATTTTGGAACTTTGGAATCTGTGACGTTCTCAATCCTACATTGGAAGAATGTGAGAATATGATATGATATATGTAGAAATCTAAATCCATACTTATGAGATACCTTTTGTGAGACAAAGTCGTGAGACCTTTGGATTAAAAAGAACAATACCTTACAAGTTGGGTATAGGTCTCTGCAAATAGTATCAGAGCAGTCACTAATCAGATGAGAGCTAAGTGCTATATGATGAGAGACACCTTTAGAATCCTGTGGGAGCTAAGTGTTACACAATAGGAGCCACCTCTAAAATCTCAATGCCTAGTGTGATCTTAGTTTTGAATGTACTTTGTGTTAGGTTTGACAGAGACGTTTTAACGGTTCTTCATCAAGCCTTAATGGGGGAGTTTGTGATGCTTCTAATGCCAAATTAGAAGAATGTGAGGATATGATATGTTATATATGTAAAGATCTAAACTAATACGTATGAGGTGCCTTTTATGGGATAAAACCGTTAGACCTTTGAGTCAAAGTAGATAATACTTCGCAAATTGGGTGTGGGTCTCAACATGATCTCTAAAGTGTGTTCTAGGCACCTCTTTTTATAGAGTTTGAAATCCAAAGGTTATGACTCTTTGATTGAATTGTTTTAATTAACAACACTTCCTTTAATCACAACACATATCTTTGAATAATTACAGAGATAATTAATTATATGAGAGATGATACTTTAAACCATAAGAAACTTTTCATTCATTTTGAAAAATCATAAATTTTGTACTTGAAAATTCAGATGCCATGTATAGGCATTCAAATGCCCATTTGTATTTTTGCTTCCATAATGAAAACAGAAAGTCAGCATTTGAATGCCTATGTTAGGACATTTGAATGCCTAGGTAAAATTCTCAAACAAAATGTTAGCATTCGAATGCCTTGTGTAGGAATTTGAATGCCCAAACTAGAATGTAATGTGAAGAAAGCCTTTTTCGAGTATAGAGTTAATTTTGATAGAAATGTAATGTGATAAATTGCTATATCCAATCAACTCAGGTTTTGTGAAAAAGTATTTTGCATGAAAAAAAAAAAGGGAAAGCAAAAAATAAAAATGAGAATAGAAGAAGAAAAAAAAGAGAACTCAAATTGAAATTCCAAAAGTGATAGTTGGGTTTAAGGAGAATACCTAAGTTAAAAACCTTAAAAGGTGACTTAGGTACAGAAATGTGTAAGCATCAATTAGGGATCACACCATACAAATTAAAGTCTAATTTGATGAGCTTTGACAAATCAAGAATGTCAAATGGCAAGGTTTTGGAAAGAAGAATTTTGGATGAATTTTTAAAGTTTTTAAATATTCATCATTTGGATTTAGCTATCCCCATCCCAACATTTACACCAATAATTTTTTTGTAACTATCATTTTGTTTAAACCTTTCACAAAGATTTGCTTGTTTGTCAGTTAGCAATAAATATCTTTTTCCTTAATTTACCTTACTTTCTATTATGTTGCATTCAAGAATAAACAAAGGAAATGTTGATGCACTACATTTAAAATTGAAATCATGAAAGTTTTAGCTTGACAATGCTTGCACTACTTTGAAAGGGAATTCAAGGGTAACATGAAAGAATGAACAAAATGAGAGTGATGAAAAAGCAAAAGAAAGAATCAATACTTGATGTGTTTGAAAGAATGAATTCTTTTTTATTTACAAAAGGGTTGTTTAGCCATCAAGATTTCAAATGCCAATTCTAGAGTCAAAATGTTTGAGAATTGAAAAAGGAGAAGATGAGAAGACGAAAAAAGATGATTTTAAAGACCTTGTTACCATAATTGAAAATGGATGGTATTATTTTGTTTGCATTGTATTCTCTGCATGCACTAAAAAAATAAGAAATGAAATGTCTAGACTAAATTTGGAAACCAAAATTGACCAAAAAGTTGATAAGGTTGCAAGCCTTCAATAAAATTCGTTTCAAGGTAAAATGTGGACCTTTGATTGAGGAAAACTTTTCAGACATGATTAGTAAAACCTCCGAGCATAACCTCATAATTCCATTTATATAAGATTTTTTTTTAAATTTCAAAACTTTTATTTATGAAAAGCTTTTTAAAAGTTTATTTGTAAAGTTGTTGAGACTCTAATGAAAGGAAACTCTCAGTATGATTTTTAAAGTTATCAAACCTTTGATGAAAAGGGCTTTTTAGTTTGAATTTTAAAATTGTCAAGCCTCTAATGAAAGGACCTTTTCGATTTGATTTTTAAAGTTGTTGAGCTTATAATAAGATGATCCTTTTAATTTAATTTTTTAAGTTGTCTAGCCTTTAATGAGAGGAGCTTTTAGATTCATTTCCAAAGTTGTGGAAACTTTAACGAGAGGGTTTTTTTTTCTCCAAAAAAATAAAAAATCTAAAAATCCAAAAAAAAAAAAGCAAAATCCTTAAGCAATTGTGTCTGGGTCAAATGCTAGCATTGGCATGACCGCCTTTTACCACGTAGAGGTCACCAATGGTGCTTTAAAGAATCCTTTTAAAATATCCCAAAAAACAAAGGATTGAAGATCCCATTTGGTTCTGTAAATTCAACCCAGAAGGTGATCGAAAACAACAAAGAGAAACGAGGAAAACCTTTGCCAAAAAATACCTAAAAAATAAAAACTTTTCTAAATTGAAAAAAAAAAACACCCAGAGGAACAAAAAATATCATCCCTATTGAACAAGGAACCATAACATTAAGAACAAACATAACAAAAAAAATAATAAAAAAATAAAAAAACAAAAAACAAAAAAGGAGTTCTTGATCAAAACTTTAAAGGTCAATTTGGGCTTTTAGGGGGAATTTTTTGAGAAATAGGGCTAATGACGGTGTAGAGGAGGTCAAAAGAAGTGTTTTGGTTTTTTTTTTTAATTTTTATCAGTATTATTCTCTGGCAACCACAAGTTTTTTGGTTTAAAAGGTTTTCTTTAAAAAAAAGAAAGCCAAAATGATTTTTAAAAAGTTCAGTTTTATAAGAAAAAAATAGCTTGAAATGATGCATTTTTAAGGACCCAAAAGATTCACACAATGGCCCAACTCAACCTGACAACTTGTGTGACTTGACTCGACAACTCGTCTATGCTCTAAATCTTTAACCAGCTTAATTGAATTGCTTTTGGACCTCTATACCACCAATCAAACCATTTGTAGACCATTGAACCGCCAGTTGAACTGCTTCTAGACCACTAGATCACCTCCAAATTGCTTTGAACCATTGACAAGGCTATTCATTGGCTAATTCAATTTTTTTGTATAATTTTAATTATTTTTTAATTTTTGCCAAGTTATTTATTTTCATATTTGTGCATATTTAAAATTTTAAATCTCTAAAATAAATATTTAATACTTTTTATAGTAAAATAATACTAATAAAAATAAAATTTTGGTTTCAAAAAGTGAAAGATAAAGCTCAACACATAAAAAATGAGGAAAAGAAATTTTTATCTAATGATGAGATTTTAAGAAAATTTGCGTATTGATTCTTACGAAATCTCTAAGTGAGAATTTTTTTAAATATTACTAATGTATTGAAGTATTTATAAAAAAAATTATCAATACAAAAAAATTTCTTTGTTCTCTTATAAAAAAATGCAAAAAATATAAAATAATAATATAAAAAGAAAATTTAATAAACAAATTTTCTCTAAAATAAAGAAGACAAATAATTTATAAAAACAAATAAATGAAA